GATGGACATCATGGACATTAGAACAGTTAATATTTCCCGTCTTCGACAAGCATATAAAAAGTCAAGTGTTTGGAAATTTGGTAACAGGAACCATGTCTAGATAGATCATTTTGGAAGAAAAATCACTCTACAATAAAAGAGTGGACATGAATGCCCCCGCTCAAGCTTTGCAATTTCCCAAGTTAAAAAAGGGCATAACTCTAGAACGGTAAATAAATCACAACCAAAAGTCTGTCTGCGTGTTGTGGTTCTTAGCAATTGTGTATGAGTTTCATAAAATTTGCATGAGACATATTAAAGTAATTGCGGAAACTAAAATTAGGCTTGACAGACCTGTCAAGGGTAAAACTAAATGCCCTCGTTGCCTAGAGCAGGGCTTAAAAAAACACCCCAGATTTTAGCAATTCATGTGTCCAATGTAATTTGTATGTTTTTAGGGAACAACGTTAACCTTTACTAAGATTATGATTGAAAAACTCACAAGCACCTATAACATTTATAAAAAAAGTACTACATTTTTAAAACCATTTAACAAAAAATTAACACAAACATTTTCTGTTGCATTGTAAAGTCCAAAATTGTCTGACTTTTGTTTTATTATATGGCAACACAAAATCCATGAATAGTTCCAGGCCTTATTAAAAATAATACAAAATGTATGTGGTTTGATTACCAATGAGACAACTATCTACCAGAGACCAAATAAATTAGATGTTAGCAACTATAGGTCACTGTATATCATGTACTTGTATAAATTTATTCTGTAATTTGTTGGTCTCTAGGGCCTATAGTGTTTGAGGTGTTCCAAGAAATATAAAACTAAGAAAAAAATACAAGCAATATTTACAGAGGCGGATTTAGGGGGGGGGGGGGGCTTTTGTGGGAAAAAATTTGGTTGATTATAGTATAGGGAATCTCTAAAGCACGACGGGAGCAGGCCCCCTCTTAGGCAGTCAGTGGGCCCCCACTTATGAAAATTTCTGGATCCGCCACTGATGTAGTGTTAATTTACAACAACATGTACCTCAACATGCTCAAATAAATCAAAGCAAACATACATTGTTTGTATTTAAGCCAAGACTTAACAGGCTTGTACATGTACAGTAGCTCTGCTTCATGATTCGACCAAAATGAAATTTACATTGTATAGTATATATACCCAGCTAAAAATTGATTGTACCTAGATAGAACCCCCCCCCCCCCCCCCCCAAAAAAAAAAAAGTAATATAAAGATGAATTGTTGGTACATGCAGATCCAATACTTTTCAAAGTCGAAAATAAAGCTTTTTCTTGATCTTTCCTGTTCATAAATTCTAATTTTAATGCCCTACTTTTCTAATTCAAGATCAGATATTTAGGAATCTGATTTTCAGTAGTCGTCACTTGTAGAGCCTGATGTTCAGTGGTTGTCGTTTGTTGATGTGGTTCATAAGTGTTTTTCGTTTCTCGTTTTTTATATAGATTAGACTGTTGGTTTATACCGTTTGAACGGTTTTACACTAATCATTTTTGGGGCCCTTTATAGCTTGCTGTTCGGTATGAGCCAAGGCTCCGTGTTGAAGACCGTACTTAGACCTATAATGGTTTACTTTTACAAATTGTGACTTAGATGGAGAGTTGTCCCATTGGCACTCATACCACATCTTCTTATATCTATATAATAGTTGTTTCTTAGAATCTTTACTGTGAATTCTTAAATTATTGTGCATTTATGATTGTGGTTTTTGAAAGAAAGGACAATTATATGAGGTTAATTTAATATTGCAAATTCTGTGACAGGAAAATCTGCATACAGATACATGTATCTGATACCATAATGTGAGTTTTTATTATTGTGATACTCATCCAGTCGCATTATTCACATTCATGAAAACCTCGCAATTCTTTCTGAATTTACAGTACTAAACAATTTACTGCCTTGACAATGTTTGCTATAACTGAGGTACATACATGTACATTTATATAGATATCATCTGCATGCATGCAATGTTATTTTAATTTAAATACTGATGATAACCATATCTAAAAAGAACATGTCAAGGTGGGCAGTCATAATAAACAAACTACATAATATATCAATTAGTCCAATAATATTTTGTCATGAAAGGCTTCTTTATTTTTTTGCTTTTCCTTCCTAAGTTGGACTGTCATATATATGAAGGCTTCACAGTAAAAAATCAACAAATCTGCCTTTCAGGAGATCATAATATTATATTATTGGCATTTAAATTGGTCAATTCAATCAACAAGTATATATATTGCTATTGGTCATATTGATGACTTTAGGTACATGTGAAAAATACTATTTCTAAGATAATTTATCCAAGGTGCAGGCATTTTTCAGAGAAAGATGCAAGTTCCAGGATTAGTCCAAATAATTATGACATGATGTAATATCTATATGAATGAATTTCATGCTGGTTTTTGCTTTCGACGCTTTCAACTTCAAGTAGGAATCTATAAAAATATGGTGTTGAAAAATGCCCAAAGCCTTCAGCAAAAAATATTATAATCTGGACTTGAGACTGGAATTGGGGGATAACATCATGGTCTGTGGGCTCCAAATTAAGGGATCAGGGTTCCTTATGTCCCAAGCTCCAAATTAGGGGCTCATAGTTCATTCGAACAAGGTTGTGTGCCCAAGGCTCCAGTGTTCGGTCTCCATGCTTTGGGGGTAGGGATCCATGCTCCAGCAATGTTGGCACCGGGCTCCGAAGCAACTGTGAAGCCAGTGTTAAAATTTACCCGACAGGATACCTACAAAACGTAAATTAGGAACGAATTACAGGGCGAGTGTTGAGAATGGGATCTTGGCAAGATGCAGAGACCTTATTTCACTTGATATTCTGTTTATTTACTGACTAGATTCTATAAATTATTCTAATTGCATATATTTTTTGCAGTCTACTTTCGTTTTGACCACGTGTATATCATACTTGCTAACACTGAACTCGTTTTTTTCTTATTCTGTGCCATTTTTCGACATCTGAAAGGAATGATTAACAAAAGAAACATTGTATGTTTCATAAATTTTACAAATTTGGTGTCTTTAACTTACTTTTCTTGTTAGATTTTCACGTAAAAATATTTTCAGCAGCAAGGTGCTTTCCATTCTGCAAACCACAAGCATCTTTCCGACGGCGATCGTCTTCTGATTACTTGATCCTCAAAAGGAGGCGGGGTCCCGCAAGCGGACAATCTCCGCAAAAAAAAAAAAAAAAAACAGCTATTGCAACCGTTTACAATATAATTAAGGCACAAACAATATTCGCGTTTCAGTAAATAAATTACACCATATTGATAACCGTTTTTAATTCAAATACATGTATGTAATTTGTTATCATACATTTTTATCGATAGACGCAGCTTTCGGGCTCACCGCCATTAATGAATATATGAATATTTAATGAAGTCTTTGCGGAGTTACCTCCCCCTGACCAAATCTAATCGAAATTGCCTTAACATCACTGCGTGATGCATATATATCTCGAAACATTAACATTTTTGTTAAGTGCTTTTACTATAAACAGTCGACTCTCGTTATCTCGAAGTCAGCCGGACCAGAGAAATATTTCCAGATACCCGTAGTTCGACTCTAACGAAACCGAAAGTTTGACAGACAAAAGGACACAACTCTTGTTTAGCTTGGTAAAGTGAAATTAAGTCCGGATGAATATGGGAAGCGGATCGATATTTTGGTCTCGGATCGATGTATTTGTATGTTAAAAAAAAATAATTTCATTATAATAATATTATTGTTTTCACTTAATATTTAATTATTTCTTTGAACAGTTACATTTTTTCCCTGTAGCTTGTATCATAGAGTGTAGTTTCCAATCGATCTTAGCATTATTGAAGTCATTTAAAGTTGACAAAATTGTTACCAGAGATTTTAGAAAATTTCGATTTCTTTTCATTTTCTTTTATCTCAATCTTTCTTTTTAAGAGAAAATACAAAAAGATTAAAGACGCCGAATGATAAGTTTTAAGGTGATCACTAACGGAAGTCTTGATTCCCACTTTATACACATCAAAGCTCATCAGTGTTAATCACGATAATCAATTGTTTTTTTAAACATTTTAGATTATAATAGTTCATAAACTTTAACAATGTCTCACTAATTATTTATCATGGTGATACTGTACAAGATAATCTTAATAATAATATAATTAATATAGTAGTCAGTGACCGGAAATTTGATAACACGTGAATTGTAAGAGTAACTCTTTTTAAATCCAGGAAGTTATGTTTTGACATATGTGTACTAGTTCGAGATAAATAAGGAATTTTAAATTCTTTTGTTAACTTTGGGACCGTAAATTCAGTTCGACTCAATCGAAATTTCGACTCATCTAGTTTCGACTCATCAGGAGTCGAAATATATATATTTATATGGAAAAAAGTTCGGGACCACGATGAAACTTCGACTCATCCGAAAATTCGAGTCAACCGAGTTCGAGACAACGAGAGTTAAATAATACCATTTTTTTACCCATTTTATTCGATTCTTATGAAAATAGAAATCAGATGTCAGTGGATCGCTTCGGTCCAGTCCAATCGACACGTTCTGAGGTTGTAACGAATACTGAAAAAAATAATTTTGTCGATATCTTTTCTAGTTACAGGGGAGATAACTCTTACAAAGACAAGTTTTTTTTTAAACAGAATGAGATTCAAAAACGCATTATCTGTTTGATATCATATGCAATTATGTATGCAACTTCTAGCGAAACAAACATAACTCGCAAGAAAGTTTGCGGCAGAAGAAAAAAAATTATAATCAGAACAAATTTATTAGGTCTGTCCACGAAAAAATGGAGAGCCTAGTTACGGCTTCCTCCACTCATTGCAACCAGCCACCGCGATACAGTCATTAGTACTCAAAGGGGTGTATAGCACCAACAATAAATCAATCAATCAAAACTAATGTAGATAACTTTCTGGCTAAGTTTCCTGTAATATGGTAACAGTTTTTGTCATTTTCATAAAAATATTTTAGTGCCTGAAATACCAAGGAGTGTAATAACTACTGTGCAAAGTCCAACAGTCATACACGTAAGATGGACCAAACCAACAGTAAAACCGGGCAACACAACGTATAGGATAAAGGCGTATGAAGTTTTGGGAGGAACATATACATATGTGAAAGATATCACAGTGAATGGTTTGTACTTATATATATTGCAATATAAAGTATATAATAAATGAAATCATGATTCAATTTTAGCAAAAAAATCTCCATTTAAGGATGTATAAGACTTTACCAGAATATGATAACTAATTTGAAGGAGTTTGTACATTTGAAGAATGAAAAGAAAACACTTCATAATGTCACATTCTTTGATTCCCCTTTCAACATATTATCAACACTGCGTTAAATGTGATCGATCTTCTCTGATTTTTTATATGATTGTTTTTTTTTCTCAAAGAGATGGATGCAAAATTCATCCCTAAATGGGTATCCCTGTTCACAAGTGTGAGTATATCAACATAATGACAAATAAAAAGTTAAAGAATTTTTTAGAAATAATAGTTCTCATAGATAAATCATGAAATCCATACCCTTAATGACATACATGATTATATTAAGAAAAGTGATTGTTTTTTTAATGTTTTGTTTTATTTTAAAGGATATGACATAGAAACTGTTTATTTCACTGGACTAGAGGAGTACTGGGACTATACATTTACTGTAACAGCAAGAACAATCAAAGGTGCCACTACATCACTTATGACTACAGTTGTTAAGACAAACCAAGCTCGTAAGTGTTTTTCAATTTTGTCTTCCATATTTTATCTTTTAAAAACTTACGAAAAAATATACATAATTGTTGAATGTAGTAAAAGGAATTTAGCAACTTTATGATGCGTCAATCTCATGACTGGTACATATGTAAAAAGTAAAATCACAAAAATACTGAACTCCGAGGAAAATTCAAAACGGAAAGTCCCAAATCAAATTGCAAAATCAAATGATAAAACACATCAAAAGAATGGACAACAACTGTCATATTCCTGCCGTTATACCACCAAATATGTACAAGGGTAGAAAAATATTCCCTTGAATTTAAGAAATAAAGGTAGATTACCCTACTTACCCCCGGCTTACTATATTTCTGGAATTTTAATTGGTTAACGGACGTAATTAAACAAAAACCAAAGCTCTGAATGCTGAATACCCATAAAGGAGGACGTTGCTAACCATAACCACAGGGAACGTCACGCGCGTTTATACGCTGACGGCATCTACAATGAAAAAGACAAAGAGTTTTGCTTTCCACACTGGTAATGAAATTCTTGACCAAAGTTCTAAAACCATTGCGTCATCAACAGAAGGGCTGGTTATATAATCCGTGAATATATCTCTGAAAAAAAAATGAAGACAAACCCTTTGACCAGTATAGTCCTTGTCGTATAAATGATGTCCTGAAACATTTTTATCTTTGACGCCGGTAAACCTGATAGATAAATGTATAAAGCCATGATTCATCCCGGTACTCTCTAAATAGATACAGTAAGGCTCCCCTTTTAAAAGAATTTGACATTGCGAAGCTTGAAGACTTTGGTAAGTCAAAACAAGTATTTAAAACCGCCCTAACAGAACTGAAAACCCACGGAAAAGGAGCCACAGAGCTCTTTTAATAATATCGGAAATTGACATGACAAACTTGTAATCGTAAGCCTTAATGCTACAAAGCTCTTCTTCTGGTTTATCAAATAAAGTACAATTTGATATTAGAATGTTCTTCGTGAGACGCGGGGCTGAAAATCTGGATAAGATGACAAAAGACACTTGTATCGTCAAAACAGACCCCCAAAAAAGGAGAGTAAATGACAAAATAAATTGATGAACTTACCAAGAATCACCGCTACAATGATAAGGAAAATGTCACTGAATTTCGGAATCATACACATATATTATAACACTGGCTAAACCTCCCATTTAAATGAAAATTGCATAGAATACCATTATATTCACAACAGTGTGATCAAAACAAATAGACATAAAAGGTTATAAAGTGAAAAATAGAGGTATTTCATTTAACAAGTTTATGACCGAAAATACATGTTTTGTAGATTGTTATGTTGATAGGAAATTACGTCCCATTAATATAGCTTTAATTTAAGAAATAACCTCAGTTTGATATACATAATATCTCATTTCAATGAAAATGGCAAAAAGTAAAAGAAACTGTATCAACTCCCCTTATGGAGAAATATGAACAATATTGCATAATAATTGTTTCTTGTTGAAATATAAAATATGTTTAACTATGTATATTCTTTTGGATCAAATTTGTGAAATACTGATTAAAAACATAAATGAAAAAAATGTTGATGGTCTTTCCAGGCTAACTGCAATCCCTGCAGAGGGTCTATCAATAATTACATTTACTATTTTCAAGTTTTATTGACATGGACGGTATCTTAAATGTTTTAAATGAAACCCATTAAAGAATACTTGTTTTATATTTATATCCTGTTTTTAAGCATTTTAGTATATTTCATATGGACTTTTATCCTATTTTTCAGCTCCAGGAAAAGTGACAAATTTTGAGATAATTACACCAGCGAATGTATTTACGACAATGCAAGTGTCATGGGCTATACCTTTATTAAGAGAAAGAAACAGTATCATAAAAGAGTATATAATAAAACATAACATCAGTGGGGTATGTGTCTATATTTTAAAGGTAACCTGATAAATTACTGTCCTGGCATTAATCAGAAATCACAATACCCGAATTATTTTAAATGAAATTATCTGTACGGTACGTGTTTCCTGAATATCTGTTATTCAATAGAATCACGACCAAACGCTTCAGAAGCAAAATGAACAAATTAAATCTAAGAATCCAAACAAAAAGTGAATAACAGTCAAACCTTGCAAAGGTCAATTTCCCAAATCATGTTTAGGTATGAAATGATGTTATTGTAAAGAAGATAATGAAGGGAAAATTAAATTAAATACACCCTCAATACAATGAAAAGGGAAAAAAAAAAGAAAAGACCAAAAAGACTAAAACCATACACAAAACACTACACATAAAACTAACAAGTAAATACACTTATCATAGATATCAGGAAGCAACATGAATCCAAAAAATGAACTGCGGTGATCACACATCCTCCATGAAGGGAAAGATGATATTGTTAAACATTTTTCATTGGTTGTGTTACTTATAACAAGTTCAGTTATAACAACAAATCATTTGATTATTGATTTTTTTTACGATTATCAATAGAAAGCTATTTTGATTTGTAGGTAGACATGTTAGATAATATATATCGTCTCATCTTGTTTCAGGTAACGATAGTTGAAACTATTGCTGCAGAATCTGAGATGTTACAAAAATTTTATTACATTACACCGGATAGATACTATAAAGTTGAGGTAAAAGTGTTTTATGTGACTGTCATACAAGTTAGAAATTTAACTAAATATAAAACCAGGTTTAATCCACCATTTCTTACCTAAGAAGATGCCTGTAACAATTCAGGAATATGACAGTTGCTTTCCGTTCGTTTGATATGTTTCAACACTTGATTTTGCCATTGGATTACGGACTCTCCGATTTTAAATTTTATTAGAGTTCGGTAGTTTTATTTTGGTTTACCGTTGAGACATATAAGATACAAAAGAAGACTTGACAATAATATTATACCAATACCTAGAATTGCATAATCAGAATAAATGTTGAACAACATTTCATTGTTTAATTGATGACGCAAGAGGTACTCTAAGGATATCAGCCAAAGAATTACACGATTATTTAAAAAATACTGATACTAATCGAAAGGCGAACAAAAGTTAACAAACAACACTTCACTGAAAATCAATTTTACAGAATTAGATTTACAGAACCATTTTGAAAACCACGATAAACATAATGACATAGTTGCGTTTAAAGTTAATCAATGTTACAAAATCCGACAAAAGAAAAACAAAACATCTCATTTCATACTTCATGAACCCCCAAACCAAAATGATTAAAAGTCAGAGATGTATGAATCCAGGAAAATGCTTACAGCTGTATGAACAAAAAAACACTTTACCTGATGGATAAGAAACCTTGGTAACTTACTAGTTTTTGATTATTTATCAACTGTGAATTACATAAATATGTTTTAAATCAAGTCGGGTCGATGTCACGGACTACTAACCGTGAGCTGATAATATCCTCGAACTAACGTTACAGTTCAACCGAGAATTGGTATTGACCCTGTACTAGTAATCAGAAATACGATTTAGATGAAATGCGTGCGTCTGAGGCGTTTTTTTTTTATTAACCTCCATCAGATAAGTCATAGTATGTAAAAAAAAAAAGCTATTGTTATATGGTAGGTTATCATCATCGTAATAAAACTGCTGAAATTCATCAGCTATTTGTAGAAGTTATTGTATAAGCCATAAAACAATTTTTATTTTGAAAAACCCGTATGATACGCCAGAACATTTTTTTGGGGGTTAAAAGAATGACAAGACAATAACCGATATTACCAAAATGACAACATTGGAAAAGACGACAAAGTAGGCTAAAGCAAAAACCTCAAAAACCGCAAAAGTGGATTCTTCCTGCTGTAATACAGACACAAAATGTAGTTTATGATCAGTGATAAATCGAACAAAGCCTGTTGCGTTCATTTTTTAACATGCGTTCAGTATTTTGAGTGAGGGAATATTGATAATTACAGTATTTCTCTTTAACAGCTGTATGCAGCAAACATACTTAAACAACATGGAGAGAAAGTACAGAAAATATATTTCGCGTCATCAAAAAGTAAAGGTACGCATTAACAGATTTCAAATTGCTTATACCTGTATGTGTAACTTCAAAGCTATGTTTACATAGGAGAAAACAAAAAAATAATTTCACGGATTCAGCTTGCATTAAGACATCTGCATTGGAGATTTTCTAGATTTATATTATTATATCAAATAATAGTCTTCATTAACTAAACAAAAAACGCTGGATTCGTCATAGTATTCCTTTCAAGCAATGAAACGACCTTATTTGTACAAAGCCATAATATGTCAGAAAATGTTTTCCCATACAAATACACTTACACTGTAATTAAAACGAACGATCCTTAACTACTTAGTTTTCCGGCAACTTGGAATTGTATTTGATATAATCCAGAAATCTACCCAAAATATAACACATAAGACAAGGGCACGTCGAACTTCAACCGAGTCATTACTACGTTCTTTATCAACAACAGAATATAATATACGGAGCTCGGATGTTCATAAAAACATTACTTTGAAGCATAGAGTCCTGGATGCTGAACCAGGAAGCACGAGTGTTAACTTAGATATCATGAACAAACCATGTTTTCATATTATTGTACGTTGCATTAATGCTAGAAGATTTGTATGATTCCATTTATGACAAAAAAGCTTGGTATACGGTCTATCAATTTTAAAAATCGAAATAACCGATTATAAATTCTTTTCTTTTTGACAATTTGTAATATTTTAATCTTTCTAATTTGCGATATAAGAGTACATTCCAATCTTCCAAAAATCATTTACATTCATAATTAGAGTAGGTTTGAAAATATGCAGCATTGTCATCTGAAAAGAACAGGCGGAAGGTAGCAAGGTGATATTTAAAACTCACCTTGTCGAAGAAAAGCTTACAACGCCATGGTAGCAAAACAAAAAAACGTCTAAAATCGGCCAAGTTTAGAAAACACTGCACAGAAAACTAATTATTAATAAGCCTGAAACCAACCAATACCTTAGGATGATCCTAGATGTTCCAGAGGGTGTGTACGTTCTGATTCATATGTCGTGTCGCCCATGCAAATATAAAAACGCTGATTAATCTCATTCGATAATTTCACAATCGAGGAAAAGGAACCGGGATTGACCGGGATTGAGCTTAAAACTATTTTAAAATTTACGTGGTAATTTGTGACACAGATATTCTGTAACATAATACCAGCCAACCGGGATGATAATCTAGTGTATTGAATATAATTCTATCAGTTCATTCAATGTATAAGGTCTTATGGAGTAATAATTTTGTAGCACAATTGTCAGATACAGGATATTCAATTGGAACAGTAGTGGGAGCTGCAGTTGGTGGTGTTTTTTGTAGTGTTCTTGTCCTTGTATTAGTATTTTGGTTATTCCTGAGACACAGAAAAAATAAAACTTCTAAACCGTCAAGTAAGTATTAGCATTTCAATTTTAATATTATTATGCATAAGGAGATGTTATACACATGAATGTCACACAGTATGGGACAGTTAGTATTAACGCAGGAAGACTGACACACACATGACTTCTCGAGGTCAATTCAAAGTCTTTAATTTGACAAGTTTCGGTACCCTAAATCGCTGGTCGGAAAACAATGTGAATACATCTATCAGCGATGAACAAAAGGCAATCATCATCTAGAAAGTAAATTCTCTAAATAACAAGAATATTAGTTAAAAGACATAAAAAAAATAGCTCATTCTCTTTTGATCCAGATCAGTTACACCAGAGAAACATGCAATACAAATCAGCATAGAAATATCATATTACTACATTATATCGGTAAAATAAGTAACAACAACAAAAGTACAAGCAACACCATTATAATTTAGAATTCTTGCAGTGAATAAAATTAAAATTAAAGTATCTGCTGGTATCAATCCATGCTTTTTAACATTCAAATATCGGTTGCTGTATTTCAAAACAAAATGTCGTATACAAATCAAAATTATAAACATGATAAACACTACTTGTTCATAACCGAAAGTGTAATGCAACAAAAAACCGATAAAAACATTTAATGTATGTTTCCTTTTACCTATAATTTTGCGTTATCAAAAAGAGAAATGATATATCAAGGCTCACGAATACCGAAAGATTTAAATAGATAATAATAAGAAGAAAACGAAAATTAGTTATCTTGATTGGTCCTGAAAATGTTTCGGCATATCGACTATATGCATTGGATTTTATTATCGATTTAAATGAATTGTAGGTGTATTTTCTGGAAAATGAATTTACATTCTCGACATTGTTTTTACAGGATCAAGACATGAACGTGAAGAGTCAATAATGTAAGTAGAAAGTTCCTACAAGCCTAGTACTTGGTGGTAATTGATCTAACATGACTTCATTCATTAAACAAATGATCGTGTAACAAATAAGGAAATTAGTTTTTCAGTGTTTAATACCATAATCTATTACAATGCAAAGTTAAATGAAATTTTATCTACTGCATATATTTGTCCAAATGGAAAAATGCCTTTTCATTGACTACAGCATAATAAATGGCATGCATAGTATGAAATTTTGAGGAGAGATAGGCTTCAAATAATGACAAAAAAGAAACCAAATGATCGGACGGATAAACCCTTCCTATTAAACAGGGACTTAATATTAAACAACAGTGTCATCTGCTCAGGGTTGCAGCATAACATATCTTGACATCGAATTCAATTTCAACCCAACATGTGTGCATTTAGAAAAATCTATTGTCATCAGTGGTGCTTGAGTCTAAATGTAAGAACTATCACATTACCAAACGTTATAATGCACTCACCTGACAAAAAATAATCGAGCCACACGACAAAGTATGCTAAATTCATTCATGACGTACCTTTGAATTGAGACGGTAACCTTCTAAAGCCACCCATCAAATATTATAAAATCAAGATCAAATAGCTTACTAGTACTAAAGCACTGGTTATTTGGCACGTGACACACTAGTGAACATTAAGTCCGCCAGTAAAGTCATCGACCTAGTGTACATAGTTGTTATTGAATATTTATACGCTATGCTTGACCTTTCATTTTATTATCAGCGGTGGTTAATGCCAAATATAAGACATCAGAAATATCAAGTGTTGAAAATCAGAGCTAGAGCTCCCCTTTTCTACCGATAGCTTGATGTTTTATTGACATTTAAGAACATGTTGATTTTAGGTACAACAGATATAGATATAAACACAATAAATCATGACCAAATTATGTTACATATCTACAAACTTGCGAGGTATTATCTTTTTAGTGGAGACCAGTACGAAGATTTAGGAATGGACAATGTATCATCTTACCAAGAACTAGGAGCAAAAGACAGTCCAAATGTATATGACCAGATTGGTCGAGTGCACACCGTAGACAAACATTATGAAAATATGTTACCTTAAAACTATTTTAACATGGTTTGCTTGATTAATATTTATTGTACCATCTTGCAGTACTCATGTTCATAGAGAACCACCCTTGTCATACAATTACAACCTCTGACTATAACTGCAGTTATCATAATTGTTTAATATATTAAGCATTTTTAACTACCATTTGGATTGCATACTTAAATTATTTCATTAAGAAACTAAATATACAATACATAGTGTTCATTCCTCATACAAATATTGAACAAAATATTGTTGGTGACTTCGATCAAACTATAGTTAGCAACAAAGAATATACCACCTCCGGGCCGAATATAGAAAAACAAAATCTATTGTAAACGACTTACATTTTGAACGCCAGACGAGATTTTTCTGATCAGTACTGATTAAACAGCAAATTTAAATTCAAATTTAAGAGCATTGGAACCAAAAATTTGGAAAAATTGTACTAACAAATTTATTCCTATATAGTCACGTGATCATTGGATTCACCTTTGATTAATAATTCTTCAGTTTCATACGAACACAACAAAGGATAAAAAAATACAACATTTTATAATTTAACCATTTTCACACAACATTATAAAGACTTTAAACAAGGATTCAGAATCCTCTTCTTTTAACTGGTGATGTTATACTGTGACCCATATCATGAAGATCGTTCGGATGCAGTTTGAATTAAATAGGATCACCTGTGAAAATAAAGGCGTGCAGAATTTCCTGTTTTGATTAACAAAATGAAAGTATTTTAGACTTTTGATACACAAACTGACATGGTCCAGCATACTAATCATCAAATACTAATTTTGACTCATTGGAATTTTTGCGAATGTCTATAGTAGATATTAAATAACAAACATTTTGCGTCTACAGACATTACCTTTAGTAACTGGAAACACATTGATTAGTTTCAGGCATTACTTTGTAGGAATAAATAATCCTCAACAATGTTCTGTTCAGTTTTTCCATCGCTTTTCTCTTGTGCTGACGGACAATCCTGTCAGGACATCTTGTGTCAATCAAAGACCTAGAAAATTTCGGAGGGATAGATTTGTTTTAGATACCCTCGATTTTTCTTTTTTGTCTTTAGATTTAGTTGTTTTCCACAGAAGGGGTAGTGATTTCATTTTGTAACGAAAAACAAGTATGAAATATTCATTTTCAAAAACATTGTTCAATGTTGTTGAAAGTTACTTTTTGAAAATAAGACGTCAATGTATATAACATCCCACGTACATATACCCTACCCTAAAATGCCATTAACGTGGAATAAAGATAATTTTATTGATAATACTTGCATGTCCTACAAGAGAAATAGTACCTATTTACAGTTTTATAACAGCATATGTTATGATTTATTTTTTCATCTTTTCTTTTTTATTAAAACGCGTCTGATTTTCCCAAAAAAATAAATGATATCATTATCATATTTCTATCATGTATTGTTATCCAACATGTAAAGGGTCACAAGCAGCTGCAATATATTGCTTGGATTATAAAGCTCCGAGGAAAATAAGAAACGAAAAATCTCGAATCAAATGGCGAAATAAAACGCTGAAACACATCAAACGAATGGATAACAACTGTCATATTCCAGACTTTTCATGCATTTCCTAATGATGAAGATGGTATCTGAAACCTGGTTTCATAGCTAGCTAAACCTCTCACTTGTATGACAGTCAAAGTCCATTATATTGACAACGATGTGTGAACAAAACAAACACATATAACAGGTAAAAACGTCTAAAATAGGGGTACAGCAGTCAACATTGTGTTATAATCTTAATCACTATAATTTACGCGTAATGCATCACAAAACGATTTATGAGAATTATATGGAATATAAGGGAAGTGAAGGGAAGACAGAAAAATATTGATGGTTTCTTTTCGTCTGTTAATTTTCACCATATGGTTAATTCAGTTTGAATATATGTCGGTTCACCGTATGTACATATCATTTTGTATTTGTGTTATTTGTTGAATAAACTACATGTATGGCTAGTTCTTATGAATTATTTGAATTGTCTTGATCATTTAAAGAAAGATTAAGTATAGGATAAAACAAATACAGTACAGATTGTCAGACCCAAAGCAGGACAGATTAAAGGCGGAAAACCAAATATGTATTCAGGATATTTTCAATGGTTTTTTTTACTTCTTAATCTTTAAAATTTAATAATTTTGAATATTTAAATAAACTAAACAAAGAGAAATAGCATCGCCGTCCTTTTTTGTTAGTTATTCTATATATTTTGCAATACTAAAAGAAATTGGGCTACTTTTTACATTGATAAGAATTCTCTTTATCATTGTAGAAATATACAGAAAAAAAGAGAAGGATAACAAACATATCTAGCAAAACTCTTAATAGAAATCACAAACCACAAGAGGAAAAAAAAAAATAGCAAAAATGCCGAACTCAAGGAAAAATCCAATCGGAAAGTCCCTTATCAAATGACAAAACCAAAAGCTATATATATATATAGAACACATAAAATGAATGGATAACAACTGTCATATCCCAGACTTTTCATGCATTTCCTAATGATGAAGATGGTATCTGAAACCTGGTTCCATAGCTAGCTAAACCTCTCACTTGTATGACAGTCAAAGTCCATTATATTGACAACGATGTGTGAACAAAACAAACACATATAACAGGTAAAAACGTCTAAAATAGGGGTACAGCAGTCAACATTGTGTTATAATCTTAATCACTATAATTTCCGCGTAATGCATCACAAAACGATTTATGAAAATTATATGGAATATAAGGGAAGTGAAGGGAAGACAGAAAAATATTGATGGTTTCTTTTCGTCTGTTAATTTTCACCATATGGTTAATTCAGTTTGAATATATGTCGGTTCACCGTATGTACATATCATTTTGTATTTGTGTTATTTGTTGAATAAACTACATGTATGGCTAGTTCTTATGAATTATTTGAATTGTCTTGATCATTTAAAGAAAGATTAAGTATAGGATAAAACAAATACAGTACAGATTGTAAGACCCAAAGCAGGACAGATTAAAGGCGCAAAACCAAATATGTATTCAGGATATTTTCAATGGTTTTTTTTACTTCTTAATCTTTAAAATTTAATAATTTTGAATATTTAAATAAATTAAACAAAGAGAAATAGCATCGCTGTCCTTTTTTGTTAGTTATACTATATATTTTGCAATACTAAAAGAAATTGGGCTACTTTTCACATTGATAAGAATTCTCTTTATCATTGTAGAAATATACAGAAAAAAAGAGAAGGATAACAAACATATCTAGCAAAACTATTAATAGAAATCACAAACCACAAGAGGAAAAAAAAAATAGCAAAAATGCCGAACTCAAGGAAAAATCCAATCGGAAAGTCCCTTATCAAATGACAAATCCAAAAGCTATATATATATATAGAACACATAAAATGAATGGACAATAACTGGCATATTCCTGACTTAGTACAGACATGCCCATATGTAGAAAAAATAAAGGAATAAACCTGGTTTAATAGCTAGCTAAACCTCTCACTTGTATAAAATCCAAAGCGCTATTTTCCTCAAACAATTACAAATTGTAGATATTACATAACCATTTGGCCTTCAACAATTTGCAAAAGCCATACGGCATAGCAAGCTATAAAAGTCCCCAAAATGACAAATGTTTAACAATTCAAACGAGAATCAATAAGTTGTTAACCAATGTCGTATCTAAGTTTACAGGCTTTTCAAACAACATTATAACCGTAAACACTTAGATTTACTACTCCGTTTGTAATAATTTGTTTTCAGATACAGCTTATGTTCAAACTAAATGTTTCGTAAAGAATTTAGTAAAGGTTTAAATTAATCAATAATCAACAACTTCCTTACTGAATAAAATATAGATTACGTTTATTGAAATTTTAAACTTCATACAATGGCATAGCGTTTGGATATATACACACCGTAAAATGTTGTAAAAGGAACAATGAGACAGTTTCTGTTCCAAAGCACCATTGTGCTCGAATCGTATAGATTTTGGAAGATGTTGTACATCAGTATTAAATCAATTGATGTATCTGCCTGTTTGTTTGCATTGTTTTTTAATGTATGAGAGTATGATTGAACAGAAGGGATTTCGGCTCTTAATTAGAGCAAGGACTTTACCCACTTCCAGGCCATAACAAGTCTTTCAGATTTAATTTGCTATCTTCGATATGTGAGGCCTACGTGTATTCTATATACACTGTTTGTAATGTATGGATTTAAATATTGTTCAGATCAAACATTTGTAAAACAGATAAAAAAGGGGACATTCTAAAATATAATTATGACCACTTCTAAGTACGCATGCTTTGTATCGAAAATTATTGACTTAAAACTAAACATATATTTTTTTAAACCTTAAATCTACGTCTTTATCATGAAAAGATAACTATAAATCATTACATATTTCTGTTAAGAGTGTTGTCACGTAAAGTACACATACTTAAAGGTCAATAATTGGCATGTAAAGGTCAACGAATTATATTATTAATTCATCTTAAAATAGTTAAATAACCATTAGTCCTTAGCATTATGCACTTTGTGCATTCCTCTTGTTTAAAGGACTATATGAACCTTTCGATTTTAATGATGTTCAGATGGACTTTATTTTAATATCTTTTTGGTTAGTATCCACCTTTTCTTTATGAACTGATTAACAAAACACAATCAACTGTTCGTATCTCAGCTTTCTAAGATATTTCAGTTTTTGTTGGTGGTACAACTTCGTAAAGGGTATACTAATATCCAGATATACTTCTTTATCAACTCTGTGTCGTGTCACTGAACATGTCAGTTAAGGATTTATCCATTTTTGATGTCTTTTTTATTTTAGATAATAATAACATTTGGAAGACTTTGAGATCTAGAAACGCATTTTTTAATTTACAGGACCGACCTTCAGTAGATACGCTCACATTTAATAAATTGACATAACTTATATGGTTTCTTCAATTAGTTGTTCCAAATATCACAACTTTCAAATACAAAA